GAACTGAGCGTGGAAGGAATTCATTCAATCATTCCAAAGATAAGAATTAGACAAAAGACACTTACAAATTGTCGGAGGCAAAGGAGGCCATTCTCAGGCTCTTGTAGCTCGGGGTGGGGCCGCGGGAGCAGAGGTTGGGGAATATGCTTTGTAAATACTACGGAGGCCCAGTCAAGAGGACTTGACAATTGGTTGGGCGTGGAGGGTAAAGGAGAGGGAGGAGTCAAGATGAGCAGCAAGATTTTAGGCCTGGATCCAGGAAGAGACTTGGAGGACAAAGAACAAGCAAGATTGTGAGGGAGAGTGTGATCAATCAGTATCTCAACTCCTGTACTCAGCTCTCTGGGAAGATTTACCCAGCCACCATTTCAGGTCCCGTTACTGCAGATCACGCAAGTTTACCTGGGCGACAGATGGCTGAATGCTCGATGGGAATTCAGTATCGGGGTTCAGAGGGACTCCATAAATTTAATGAACAAGAATGAATCTGAGGACATTGGAAATTATTGAAGTCCTTCTTTATTGCAATCTCTCTCCTACCTTTCCCAAAGCACCTTGAAATTTTCTGTCTGACCAAACCCCATCTTTATGGGAAATCCTTCTTCCCCTTTTCTCCTACTTAAAGCCTGCACATTCTTCAAGGTCCTACTCCATTCCCACATCCTGACTATGAAGCATCCCTTGGACTCTTCAGGCACTTCGTGTGTCCTGCCTTTCAGAGTAGGTTTTTCATGTTTCCCACAGCTAGACAAAGCACTGCAAAGAGCACCGTCTTAGACTTTTTCAGATTATCTTATAATAAACAGCTTTAGAGGCTGCCTGCTACTCATATCCTTGAGGAAAAGGCAGAAACAAAGCTGAGACCTGGAATCTCCAGAATCTCAATTAGCAGCTAACAGTAGATTCCCAAATAGGGATACATTAGTAGAAGCAGCTTTTTCTGTGGGCTGGGCCATATGGAAGCTAAAAGGACTCCTTTGTCTCCATGAGACTGGCCTCCATAACCTGCCTTCTATTTTCTCTCTCTCTCTTTTTTTTTTCTTAAAGATTGCATTTATTTTTTTGAGAGAGAGAGCCCGAGCTAAGCCTGAGCTGGGGAGAGGGGCAGAAGGAGAGGGAGAAGCAGACTCCCCACTGAGCAGGGAGCCCAGCGGGCCTCGATCCCAGCACCCTGATCCAAGCTGAAGGCAGATACTTAACCGACTGAGCCACCCAGGAGTCCCCATAAAGGATTTTTTCCCCTATATTCAAAGCGAGGATAATAACGACATAGATCACATAGAATTTTAGCGAAGCTTAAATGAGAAAACTGGATATAAAATATTTGTCTCAGTGCATGTACAAGGTGCTCAATAAGTGTCCTCTAGTATCAAGTATTGTCACCAGTTATCAACCAAGAGCCATTTACTATTGTCTAGTAAAACTATACTAGGCACAGTGGTGCATACAGAGGAAGTAGGGGAGGTAAGTTTGTACGTTCGGGAAACTTTGCATCTACTGGAAGAAATATGCACAGTTCCAAGGCAGCCTGTATGGAATGGTGTCTTCACAGTGCTAAGGAAATCCCAAGTCAATGGAAAGATTTCCATGGCGTGGAATTAATCAAAGACAATTTTACGGAGGAGGTGAATCTTGAGCATGGACTTGGAAGTATTATTGGAGATGAGAAAGCATCCCTGGGAAGAGGAGCAGAATGGGGGCTTGGGGGAGGGGGGGGGGGGCAGGGCTTGTTATAGGAGCAGGGGGAGATTGGAAAAGAGACCCCAAAGCGGGAACTTCCGGAGAAGAATGAGATGTGAAATGGGCCAGGCTGGGAAGTTTAGAATGGTTGAAGAGCTGGGAACCACTATAAGTCTTCAAATGGGAATATTATGATGCAAGATTTGTGTTTCAGGAAAACTGGTGTGGGCGCCATTGGGTTAGACCACAGAGGACTGCTCTGGTATTCAGGTATATTTACCTGAAAATAGAGAAGGAAATTACTGAACCTGAGTGCATTTTAGGAGGTGTTTGTCAAGTGTTTTTGAGATCCGTAAAGAATATTTCTTGGGGCACCTTGGTGGTTCAGTCAGTTAAGTGTCTGAGTCTTGATCTCGGGGTCGTGAGTTCAAACCCCGCGTTGGACTCCATGCAGGGTGTGGAGCCTACTAAAAAAAAAAAAAGAAAAAAAAAAAAAAGAATCTTTCTCTACAGTGGTGGAAATGAAGTGGCAGAGGGGAGAGAAGTCTCCATCAGACTGCTCCTGCCCTACCTGCCCCCACAGAAATCATGGAATCACTGGAGACACTGGGAGTGTGGCCGGAGTTCACAAAGGGAGACACTCCCTTCCCAAAGACTGCTAAGAGTGTCTGTCAGGAACGCTGACAAAATTGCAAAGGTATTTTTTTTTAAGGAGGTCCCACGTCCCAGTTCGAACTCACAACCCCAAGATCAGGAGTCGTGTGCTCTACCGACTGAGCCAGCCAGGTGGACTGCAGATGTATTTTTTAATCACACGTTCCATAGCTCCTCCTTGGGTCACACAGAAAGAATTAGCCAGTGGCAACCAGGAAAAGGCTCCCATGAAGGCTGTTGGGTTATTTCTGGGTAGGTTTTTAGGTGTGAGGGTGCCTGTCTGGGACAACGGGGCAGGTGTGGGATGTGACACCATTTCATGTGTGACTCATACCTTACTTGAGTTCTTGGGCTCTGGCGGAGGTCAGTCCTGAGCACCCAGTGGTGGCTTTTGTGAACAGCTAATGACCTTGTCAAAGCCCTTGCCGTGGGGGTGGGGGGTGGGGGGTTGTGTTTCATGGTGGCACTGCTCTGAGGTGTGTGTGGAAGCACAGGTCAGCCCCGCTTGTCCGCGTCTTTCTCCTTGGGCTCCTACCTCTGGGCTAACTACTTAAGGGAATGAAAAATGATGACCGAATCCAAAAAAGCAAGAGGACCTGGAGCCCTGTCTTCAGATATGCACCCCTTTGGTTGTGATGGTAAAGCCGGGCATCGCTGTCTCAGTAAGGGACATGGCACAGTGGGGTCCGGGATGTGGGGTCACAGCCCAGCCACCTCCCTATCTCCACAGCAGTTTGAAGAGAGGTGGGCTGGGCAGATATTTCAGAGTCTGGCTTTCCCTACATGACCCCGAAGAATGTACACTATCACCCTTTACCGTTCTTGATTCTCGTCCCGCCTTTCCTTCTCCTTGCAGTATTCACTGGACCTACCCCAGGAGGCGTTTACTTGCTCACTGCCGTGTCTCTGGCCCTTAGAGCAGTAACTGGCACAGACGAGGCCCCCAGTGCACCTTTGATTAATGACTTTAATGAATAAACAAATAACTGACTGAAGAAGTAGGGCAGAGCAGATGGTCTGACCAGCTCCTTCTGGCCCTCTGGAGGCATCTTCCCCTTCCCTGGCCCTCTCCCACTAAAGGACAGAGACCCTGGAGACCCCCGTGTTTCACTGTGTTTGCTAGTGGCATTCACCCCCCAGCAAGGGGAGAGGCTTTCGTTCTCTGAGGAAATCCGTGGTTATGACAAAAGGCAGAACAAGGAATTCCCTCCCCTGTCTTTTCCGTATTTACTAGATCTTTCTTCCTATGCAAAGAAGAGCCTCCCCTGGTTGAGTCCTGCTGTAAACCTCACCTGTGAGCACAAACAGGGCTTTCCATGTGTCCCACCCATCAAAGCCCAAACTATCCGGCTCCACCCAGCCTCCCTCCACCTCGGCTGGGCTGAGGCCAGAAGTGTTTCCATGCTGCCCATGCTGAGGAAACCAATCACCAGTCTTCACTTTCCTCCTCCCAGCTCGGCACCAGGAAAGCCAAGAATGTAAGCCAGGGCCGAGAGCTGGGCCGTCGGGCTCTGTGACATGCTGAGGGTGGCTCACATCTGCCTACATCCTGACAGAGAACATCCTGAGGGGTTGTCGTGGAGGTGGTGGTGGGGGGATGGCGTGCAATTGCGCGTGCCACACATCTGGAAGGCAGAGAAAGAAGTCACCACACGTGCGGCAGTCTGTTTTTTCTTTTGAAAGTTTTTAAAATATATATATTTTTAATGCACGGCCAGTTTGAGGGAAAGCACAGCATGGTAGGAACAGCTGGGCCGTGAGCCCTGTCTCTGTTTATGCTCGTGAGGCACCGAGGGGTGGGATTAGCAGCTCTTGGGAAGTTTGGCCCTAGCTGGCCTGTCGCTGGGAAGTCAAAGCCACAGTGACCGTTAGCAGGCACGGACTCCTGTCCTTGGCTCAGAAACGGTGCCCCCCCCCCCACAATGTGGCCTCGGTTGAACCAAGGAGTTGCAGAGCCAGAAAGATTTCACAGGAGCTTGACGAAAAGGTGTGGCAGAAGTGAGAGACGCTGGTGTGAGGGGGCCATCCCTGGGGATAAGACGTGTCACCCGTTGGGAGACAGAACTCAGCTCTCGGGCGGTAGGAACGTGTGAGGATGTGTGGGGCCGGCGGGAGGCGCGGTGGCGGGAGGGTAGCTGTGGGGGAGGGAGGAGGACCACAGGGGAATGGGGGCAGCTCAGACTCCTCGGTCCCCAAGAAGGACTGGTAGGTGGAGTTGAGGATGTTTGCACAAGGAAATCCTTTGAAGCTCTTCTCTCGTCCTCCCCTCTCTGGACCTGGTTCCCTCCCCTCCATAAAGCCATTAGCTTCTGGTGCCGGCCCTATCTCTGCTCCATCTCTCTTGGTTCCAGTCGGTGCATTCACAGACCTCCTGCCCTGAGGGACGGGGAGGATTTATGGGGGGTAGAAGGTAGAGGGGGAGGGGGCATCCTTTAGAGGAGGCGAGGTCTGTTAGGAAAGTAGGGTGTGGGGAGCTGTTAGTTGGCGGCGCTAGAGGCCGGATCATTTCCGAGCGGGCTCTGCATGACAAAGGGGAAAGAGCAAGTTTCTTCTTTGATCTGCCCCCTGCCGGCCCCACACACCTGCCTGTTGGTGCTCCCGCCCCAGCTGAGACCTCAAGAAGAAAAACCAAAAGGGGGTGGGGACCAGGCTGTAGCCCAGTTTCCCTGGATCCTGTTCAGGCCATCTTCCTCTCTTGGTGGCCCCAGGACAAAAATATCTCCTAGGCTGATGACCCGAAGCACCTGCCGCCCCCTCCCGGAGAGCCTGGAGACCCAGGGCCGCGGGAGCCGCGCGGTGAGATGGGTGGGGGCGGCTGGGAGCGCGCGCGCCAGTGTGTGTGTGCGTGTGTAGAGTTGGAGGTGTTAAGGGGTCCTGGGAAGAAGACTCATTGGAGATGTGGGGTCACGCCCTGGATGAAACCTAAGGGGGAAACGAGGTGGGGGTGAGTGGGAGGGGGGCGTGTTTTTATAGACTTGCTCTAGGATCCAGAAGCAAGGATTTTCCACTTGTTTCCAAGGGCTGGAGGAAGGGTGCTCTTTCAGGGGATACAGGCACAGGCGTGAGTTACAAAAAGCATAGGCAAAGATGTGGGAAGCTCTTGAGCTACAAGGGAAGGGGTCGTTGCTTCTGGAAGATGCGTCCTCAGCGCAGACCGTTGAGGCCGGCGTTGCAGACCAAGAGCTCGCTGTTGCCGTCAGTGCTCCGCTCCTGGCCGCCCCTCGAGGGCCGCAGCGCAGAGGAGGAGGAGGAGGCCACCTAGGAAGAGACCACTTCACCCAAGGGAGCTTTAGGGGCACATGGCATTTCTCAGAGAAGCTGCCCTGAGAAAGTGCAAAGTCCTTGCCCTTCTGTCTGCTCTATTCCTGGTAAACAAGAGCTGGGATGTGGAAACTTCCTTGGAGTGAGAAGGGTACAGATTGGGAGGGAAGACTCCTATTTGGCTGCAGGCAAATCCAACTCACCAGCTGTTCTTAGCCCAGGAAGGAGCGCTCTGACCGGAGTGAGACGTACAGGGAGGAGTGGATGGTGCCCTGGCTTCTTTGGAGGTTCTGGAAGAAGGGCAGGTGTGAGCTGCAGCAACCACAGCATCTTCCTTGATGCTACCTGGAGCACATTCTGTTCTGGAAATGACTTGTTTTCATTTCTCTTTCCTAGTTTCTCAGCTCATTGTTTCCTTTGGAATTTGGTCCTGGGTAGGGTTCCCACAGTTTGGGGTAAGAGACACAAAAGCAGTCCCCTGGGGAGAAGAGTAGCAGTAGGAGATGGAGGGTGGAAAGAGGCTGAATCTCTTCGTGGGGGGAGCAGAACTTGACATTAGCCGCCCCCCAGCACCTCATCCTTGGTGCTACCCGCCCCCCACCTCCTGTCCCCGGGTCCTGGCTCATCGGCTGCATCTCCACATTGATGCTCCCTCCCTTCTGTCTTCTCCAGGGAGCCCCATTTCGGAAGCCGACCGCCCCCGGGGTCTTCCCAGGGCACTGGGGGGGGCTGAGGCCGAGGCCCACCATGGCCAGCCTCCTGCTGCTAGCCGCCGCTCTGCTGTCCAGCTGGGCCCAGCTTCCGGCCGAAGCCAGCTCCTGGTGGTGAGTGAGAGCGGCTGAGGCCCTTCTCTACAACCTACACCTCCTTTGGTAATTAAATGTGGAGAAGGGTCACCGTGTGTTGTGATCATTCCTTTATTGGTAGGAACCCTAAGGACCGCTTTCATCCCAAGAAAACTAGGACACCCTCTTCTCGCACAAGCCCCAGAGGTAAAGGGTCAGCGAGGATAAAGGATTAGTTCATTTGGGCTTTTCCTCTGATCCTGTCTGTTTTCCCCTTTTTGAGGACCTTCCTCCGTCCCCATGGGTTGTTAGAAATAGCTCTTGCGTTGCTATTGGATCAATGAGAACACTGATTTCTTTTATTCCGGTGGGGGTAAGGAGAGGAGAATTCCTATTTCCTAAGTCTGAAGACCAGATGAGAGGTTGAGAGATTTGCAGGACCCTTGTGTGGCCTTCTTTTGTGTTTTCAAGACTATTGTCATGGCCAAGTCAACCTGGAAATGGCCGGCCCTCCCCTCCTATCTTGCCTGGTCTGGGCCCCGCTCACATTTGTACTCAGATGGCACATCTACAGTCCTCTCACCTAACTGAACACTTTACTCTGGTAGAGGAGGAGCAGCCAAAGCGAGAGCCCCTGAACAGATAGAGTGGGTTAGGGGATTTGTGGGTGGGATATGGAAGTGAAAACCTTTAGACTGTGTTGTGATGTATGTAAATTGGCTTCTGTCTGCAAGGCATAAGGGCAGTGCTATTTGAAGGAATTCATTGCTTTCCATCACATACCCTGCGTACAGGCTAAAGTGAACAAATCATCTGCAGCCCCTGAATGAGTCATGTGCTCTCCTGTTAAGGTTTGGCTGTTTCTGTCCTCCGCCTGGAATGAATGTCCTCTGCCCTCTCTGTTGCCCTTCTCTGCCTGCCCCCATCCCTTAAGACCCACTTCACACTCTGGCCATTGCCTTATAAAATCTTTTCTCTGGCTGTAAGAGCTCTTTCTCTGTCTGATCGCTGTGGATCCAGAAGCTCAAGGCTGGCTTTGGCCCTTGACACCTCCCGTGTCATCTGTTTTTGTGCTTCAGTTTCCTACAGTGCCCTTTGAAGGCAGGGCCTCTGTTTGAGGAAGCTTCCTTTCCAAACCCTTTGTACAGGGCCTTGCACACAGAAGGAAAGCCCTTGCTACATGTGTCGAATGAATGACTTCATGCTGCACACGGCACACGCTCACCCCTTGGCCTTCTGTCCTCTCTCTGGCTCTCCACTGTAGGTCCTTAGCTATGAGCCCGGTGCAGAGACCCGAGATGTTTATCATCGGTGCCCAGCCCGTGTGCAGCCAGCTTCCTGGGCTTTCCCCTGGCCAGAGGAAGCTGTGCCAACTGTACCAGGAACACATGGCCTACATCGGGGAGGGAGCCAAGACGGGCATCAAGGAGTGCCAGTACCAGTTTCGCCAGCGGCGGTGGAACTGTAGCACGGTGGACAACGCGTCCGTCTTTGGCAGAGTCATGCAGACAGGTAAGAGCCACTGACACATGGCTGGCTAGAGGAGCCGGGCTCACCCCCCAGGCCTGGCACAGGGAGCCCTCACCAGTGTCTAAATGAGTTCTTCAGGGCTTGGAAGTGGTGTGCAAGGGGAGAGGGAGACGCACACAGGAAGCGGAGTCTCAGATGCCGTGTTGGCCACCCAGCGAGCGCTCCGGCGAGCCCTCCGCTCCCAGCTTCACCCTGTCTGCAGCAGTCAGCGGCCGCTCGCTCTGGGAGGGTGGCAGAACAGTGGAGTTGAGTCAGACTGCTCTTTGTCTCAGCACAGGGGACGGGGGCTGGGGGGGGCATGCTTTGACAGCATTGGGTAGAGAACTGAAAATTGCAGCTCTGAAAGTCTAGATGACTTTTACCTCTGCCACTTGGACCCTGAGAGAGAGATAGAAACTTTGGGCCAAATTGGTGATAGCCGTCATTAACCTGACCCAGATCCAGTCCTGGCTTTTTCATTCTAAAGGGATGTGTGTGAATGTGGGGGAAGGGGACAGACCCAGAAGAAAGATGAGAGGCCACCTCTTCCTGGATTCCTGTCCCTTCCCCCCCCCCTGCTCTCCGTCTGCCCTATTGCTTAGATGGAGGTGTGATTTGGGGTCTAATTGTTTGAGGTCCTTTTGAAATGCAATCCTCCCCTCCCTGGCAAGAAATTGAGAAATCCGGCCCTATTCTACTGGGTCTGATCGGCAGGGCCATAGAAGGAAGGTGTCAGGGCACTGTATTCTCCTGTCTCACATTCTCCAAAAGAGTTTCCCCTCCAAGGAAGGAGGGCATTTGGGAGTTACCTGAGGCTGAGTTTTTCCCAAAGAACGATTTTAGCAGCAAGCAGGGTATGAGGAAGGCCCCTCCCTCCTGACCTCTCTCCCCTACCCATGTTGACAAGTGAGGACCAGGGGAAAGGATGCTTTGAACCTTGCTGCCTTCGTCCTTCCTTGAGTATCAACTCAAGGTCTAGACAAGGAGGGCTCACGTGTTCCTGCCACAGTCTTACTGGGCAGCTTTCCTAAAAGAATGGACTTGGGGTTAAGTGGGACTTGTTCATAATTTATTGATTCTCCTCAAATACACTTAGTATCTGGTGAAGTCTTAGCAGCACTCCCTGCGCTGGGTTCTGGATGAGGAGAGCAGGAGAGCAGGAGGACCCCAGGTGTAGGGAGAGGCATCCACAAATCACTTTCAGGGACCTAATGCATGCCTGACATCCCCTAGATCCTTTTCATGTGTAATTTTGTTTGAGTGACAGCCAAAAAGTGAGCTTTACTTGAGGAAAAGAAGGAGTTAGCAGGAATGGAAACGCCACTGGGTGCGGACTGGCTTGGGGGAATGACTTGTGCCAGCCGGACCTCCCATTCTCCCCGGACCCTGTTCTGTTAACGAACGGAACCCCCTGCTTGCCTTATTTTCACAGTTTCTTTTTGTAGCTTCCCTGCAGACTTATGCTACCTGGGGAGCTATCCTCCATTCATGCCCTTGATCCCAGGGTGGCTCCTGGGGAATCCTCTCTCTCTCTCTCTCTCTCTCTCTCTCTCTCTCATATATATGACTTCCAAGAAAGTCCTCCCTTCTTTGAAGCTGCTGCCAGAGTCCACCACCAGAGGGCAGCAGAGCACCTTGGAGGGAGCCGTGGTGCATGGCTCAGCCTTGGTCAGGGGCGCATGGGGGGCACCTTCCTGGTAGTTGGGTGGCACTACTGAGGGACAGAGAGGGAGGGCGTGCTCCTGTCCTGCTGTCTCCTCGTAGGGGGAAGATGCCATGTCTCTCTAGCAGCATCATGGCTGCGGGTTTATTAGTCTTTATCCTTGAGATGGTTTGTTTCCACTCTGAGTTGTTGCACGTATAGAGAAGCCGCCCAGCTTGCTTGTCCATTCTGAAGCCCTGCATTATGTCTTGCTGGCTGAGAGCAACACTAGTAGTCTGCACTTAGCAGAGGACCCAGTTTCTCCCCAGGAATGCAGAGCTGCCCATCCTAGGTGCTCCAACCAAAAGAGGCAGAGCACCTGCAAGGACAGCTAATCCACCTGAGGACAGAGTGGGATCCGAACCCATCAGGATAGGCCAGGACGGTCAGAGCACAGAGTGTCTGCAGTATTATGTTCAGATGCGGGCACATTATTTTGAAAGGCAATTCTGAGAGGCATGATTCAGCTCGGAAAAGCATGTTTGCTAAAGAACTGAGGAAGAAATCAGACTTATGTAGCTGGAAATGACAAAACATAAAAGGCCTATCAGTTCTTTTCAAATGCTGAAAGGTTGTCAAATGGGAAGGGATTAGACAGCGTAGCTCCAGCGGGCGGAAGTTACAGGGAGGCATTTTTCAAATGACTATAAGAAAGAATGTTCTGGTGATTAAAGTCATTAAAAGATGACGGGCTGGGTTGTCTTGAAAGCCCAGCCCGCTTCCCTGAGGAATGCTGTGAAAAGGAAGAGTCACAGTGGGAGGGATGTGGGTCGGGCTGCAGATCAGGGCTCCTCCCTGTCCCAGGATGCCAGGTCAGGGGCTTGCGACTCCATCTCAGGAAGACTTCTCAGGCATGGCTCCCCCACCGAGGGGAATAGGCCCTCCTCCCGACAAGCCAGTCGGTCACCCTAGCATCCTGGTTGCTCATTCTCCTAGTCTGACTACCCTAGATTAGATAGAGCCCTGGTCTCTGGCAGTGGATTAGCACTGACTCAGATGTCAGTCCTGATGGCTGAATCATGAGTGTGACTTCCCACCTCATCTGGGTTTTTCTTGTCCTGCTCCTAGTCTACGTCTGACCAGAAGCTGACCCCTGGTTCCTTGAGAAAAACTGACTTGGCCAGTCTGGTCTGGTTGCAAGCTTGACTGTGTCCTACCTAGACAATCAAGAAGGAGGGCAAAGTGAGAGACCAGTTGAGGATTGTAGATTGCTTCTGTCTCGACCTGCCAAGACAGGATTATGGGAGGTCTACTTTTTCTTTTTTAAGATTTTATTTATTTATTTGAGAGAGAGAGTGCACAAGCAGGGGGGAGGGGTAGAGGGAGGAGCAAACTCCCTGCTGAGCAAGGAGCCTGATGTGGGACCCAGGACCCTGGGATCATGACCTGAGCCAAAGGCAAATGCTTAACTGACTGAGCCACCCAGGCGCCCCTATTTTATTTTATCTTTAAAATTTTGTTTTTTATGTAATCTCTATACGCATCGTGGGGCTTGAATTTACCACCCCAAGATCAGGAGTCACATGCTCTACCGACTGAAGCAGCCAAGCGCCCTACTACCTGCCTTTTTGATTCTAGCCATCCTCGTGAGTGTACAGTGGTATCTCATGGTGATTTTTTTAAGATTTTATTTATTTGTCAGAGAGAGAAAGGGAGCACAAGCAGGGGGAGCACCAGGCAGAGGGAGAAGCAGGCTCTCCACTGAGCAAGGAGCCCAATGCGGGACTCGATCCCAGGACCCTAGGATCATGACCTGAGCCGAAGGCAGACGCTTAACTGACTGAGCCACCCAGGCATCCCCTCATGGTGATTTTGATTTGCATTTCCCTGGTGGCTGAGTATTATTAATTATAAACATTTTTATTGAAGTGGAACGTGCATCATAGGAGTTTTTAAGTGGTTCACTGCAGCAATAGAGAGGAACACAGTTCAGAGTTTCTACTGGAAGCGATCTGGACATTTGGTGAGATGGTGCTGAGTATCCTGTGGATGTGGTTCCCCAGTGCTCTCAAGTTGGGAGGCAGCGTGGATCCCGTGCAAGACAGAGGGAAACAGCATGGATGATTCTGGACATTGTAATTCTGGCTCACTTCTCCTTCTCGTCTCTGCCACTGTCTAGCTAATGGCAACAATAAAAAAGACAGATGTGTGGCCCATCGAGGAGTGAGAAATTGGCAGCTGTGAGGGAGAGGTTTTTGCTAGGATACAGAGTTCTACTATTGGTCCCATGATTTCTACTCTGGCTCATTCTGTTCATCCCACATGTCCCATAAATTCCTTAATGCCCACCCTTCCCTCCATTTAGGTCTGCCTCCTCGGAATCTACTGGCCATGTACCCTTCCCTGGAATGGATGTTAGCGTGGGCCAGGGCTGGAGGGATTCATTCTAGTCTGTGTGTTCACAGGGTAGGGGAGGCAAATTTCTGCTCGTTATGAAGAGCAGTTTCCAACCCTTAGAGCCATGGGAAGTGAAAGACGCTTCTCCTGACATCGTTTCGCCTCCTGGGAGTGTTACCGGCCAGGCGATGGTGTTGTGTCCAGGAGAGGCAGAAAGAAGGAAAGGGCCTCCGTAGGAGACTGGCATCCCTCCCCCGTCTCCCGCCTTCTCTTGCAGGGAGCCGGGAGACAGCCTTCACGTACGCAGTGAGCGCCGCGGGGGTGGTGAACGCCATCAGCCGGGCCTGCAGGGAGGGTGAGCTCTCCACGTGCGGCTGCAGCCGGACAGCGCGGCCCAAGGACCTTCCCCGGGACTGGCTGTGGGGCGGCTGCGGGGACAACGTGGAGTACGGCTACCGCTTTGCCAAGGAGTTCGTGGATGCCCGCGAGCGGGAGAAGAACTTCGCCAAGGGGTCGGAGGAGCAGGGCCGAGTGCTCATGAACCTGCAGAACAACGAGGCGGGGCGGAGGGTAAGCGGAGCTCCCCCACCTCCACGCACGCGCGCGCCGCAGGCTAACCAGCTGCTCCTGGGCGGAGCTGGGAGCCGTAGCCTGGCCGTGAGGAAGGGGGTCGTGCTGACTGCGGTGATGCTGACCTGCAGCCGCCGACCTAGATGCCCGCGTTGCCGACCTGATCCATTTCACAAGGCTCCATTCCCCAGCAGGGCACGTGCAATTGTCATTTTTATGAACCTTGTTTATTTCTCCCCTGGACAGCTGTCCCTAGAGCACTTAGGAGCAGCCTCGTCATCAGGATTCCAGGCCCTCGAAGTAGAGTTCTTGTCTTCACTGCCCCTCCTCTGCAATGGGAGCAGATAGGACAGCCGCCAGTTAAGGCCGTTAGACCCAGCCTAGGGTTTATGATTTGTGAGAGGTGCAGGCGGAAGCACAGCTGACTTTTAAGGGCTGCTATCACGCACATCCGGAGGCCCGATCCAAAAGCAGGGGTCGGCGCTAACCGCAGACACACTTCTACACCCAGAGTGCCTTGCGGGAGCCGAGTGGGAGACAGAACCATCTTTTGAAGGCTGTCTCACCAATCACATGTGAGACGTGACTGTTTTTGAGTCTCAGTTTCAGTAGAAACTCAAATGTGGGCTTTGAGGTGAGCGTGGTTTCCCGCACGTGTGGAGCATAGCTGGGCATCGGCTCTAGGCTTCCCTGATGGCCAGGCGGAGGGCGTGCGCCTTCTCTGCCTGCACCTCGCTCGTGAGGACCTCACCCCTGGGCACATGCTCGGTCTCTGCTTCCCTTTGCTGCTCCTGACATGGTCCGCCTCCGCCGCAGGATCCCGGAGGGCTCGCGCAGGCAGCAGCTTTGCTTGCCGCTGGTTCGGAGTTATCCCGTGTGGAGGGGAGGGTGGGGGTGCATCAGGGTCTCCCTTATAGAGAGGCGTGAGATCTGAGTGCTGGGTGGTAGGAGTCGCTCCCGGCACAGGGCCAGGGTGGACCACAGACCTCTCAGGAAGCTACACAGACTTCTTTCTGGGCGTGTTTTCTGCATTCAGGTCTGTGTCAAGCCCCTGGCTCAGGGGCCCAGGCAAGATACTGTCGTGAGACCAAAGATGAAGTAATGAAACAATGAGACTAGCAGTTTCCTGAGAAGAAATCAATTCAGAAAGTTTATGTTGGTTCATTGGTGATTCAGGAACAGGATGTGGATATATTTCTAAAAGTAATTACCAGTTTAAAAGATCGACTCATGTTTCATAGGAGCACGTATCAAATAAATAGAATTGAAATGGCTTTTCTGTGAATTGGGACCTGTGATGTTGGCTTGGTAGAACGAGGTAGGCTGGTGTAAACTTAGTCCCGTCAGTAGTGTGATGTCAAGTTGAAATCAGTGTTGGTCATTTGCCCCGTGTCTTCCTTTCGGAGCCCATATCCGAGGCTAGATGTGGGTGTGAGGGGTTGTGTTAATCCGGGGCAATATTAGGAGTTCTGGCTGTTGCTCTGGTTCAAACCAGGGCACAGAGAACAGCACGGTCTTAGATGACTATCCACTCTGAGGGCATCTGTGGGGCCACCTCTGTCCCCCACAACTTCCTCTCTGGCACTCTGCTTGTCAGTCTTTGGGGCTCTAACCACGAGAGGACTGGGAAAAAAGATCTTCACTTTATCTCCCGAATGCCCAAATTCTATCCATTTTTTAAGATCTCAGTTCAGATACCACCTATTCCTAAAAATCTTTCCCATCCTCCATCATTAGTAGGCTCTCTGCCTCTGAACTGCGGTAGGTCATGTGCTACATTTTTGAGGTCTGGCCTACTTCACCTCCTCCCTCTGGCTGGAACTGGGATTCTGTCCATAGCTCCCCGTGCTTTACACGGGTGGGTGGGCGCATGTGCATCCGAGCAAAGTTCCCATATTGCCGCCTAGGAAGAGGTCAAATTCATGGAAGGCTGTTTCCTGTCTCTACTCTGAGCTATCCTTGGGGCGTTGGGGCAGATGCCGAGGTGACGGCATTCATCCTAATCTGGGCTCCACTGCAGTCACAGTCTTGACCCCACTTCTGCTGGCTCCTCGTTTTATTGCCCTTAATTGTTTGTTTGTTTGTTCTGGCCCTTATCTTGGCCGACCTTCCTTCCATCTGCCTTGTTTCTCACTTACACACCTTCCCCGTCTTCCTCTGTCTGTCTCCCTGCCTTTGGGCCCCCTTCCCCCAGGCTCCACACCTCTTCCACAGTCTTTATCTCTCCCTTTGCTTCTGTCTGCACCAGGTTGGGAATTCCTGTCCCTCTATTTTTTATCCTCTCTCCCAGGAGCAGGCCTCCGCCATCAATCACCATCTGAGGCCAAAGGTATTCACCTCCCACCTCCTCACACCTACACAAAAAAATTCCGTAGGAAAGACTAAAATGGTGGCAGGAATGGAAAATCCCCTGGATTGTATTTTACAACCAGTTAATTTTATTTTTTTTAAGTCATCTCTACACCCAACATGAGGCTCTAACTCCCAACCCCAAGATCAAGAGTCGCAGGCTCCACCGAATGAGCCAGCCAGGCATCTCAACCCCAAATTTTTTTTTAATGGACTATCTAGGATCTGATATCTTGGCCACAGAGTAGATCTGGGGCATACTTTGCAGGAAATTTCTCTTGGCCTTTGAGAGTCTCTAGTAACCCCATTTTAGACATTGATGGCCAGAGCGGTGGGTTGATACTGCCTTGTCACTCAAGGGCTTAAGCACTTTCCAGATAAAAGCTGCCTAATCCTCGTGACATTACTATCAGTTAGTTACCAAGCTCAGTCATACCATTAGACAGTGCAGAAGAGGGACTTAGGGCTTTGCCAGGAGGCAAGACGTAGAACTAAGGAAATGTTTTAAAAATCAGCTTTTATTGCTTTTTCAGTTAGCAGGAAAGGCTAAAAATTGGGTTTTGTTTTTTTTTTTTTGGCCTTCTCCTGTCAGAGGAGCTTCTATGTATTATCAATAGTGAAATACTTAAGAATACAACTATTGTATTACAGTGTCTTTCTTCATAGAGGAGGGCTGGAATGAATGTCTCCTTAGTGAAGATCCGTGACACTTTCCTCTGGGATTTGTTTTACGAAAGCTCCCGTTCTTACTCTGTGGAGTCTCCTTCAACTCTCCTTCCTCCAATCTCCCTAAGTGTTGGCTTCCAGTAGAGATGCTTATCCCATCCCCTCGGTCACTTAGTGGCAGGGTACACAGTTTCAGGCCCTTAATGTTTCCTGCTTCCAGCAGCGCCAGATGCCTGACCTCCTTCTCTAAACCAAGGGCCACTTCCGGAGGAATGTCAGGCCCCAGCTCAGACCGGGGTGGGGGTGGGGGGGAATATGTGCCAGAAGAGAGTAATTGCAGACCCCATCTTTGAAGTGCCTGTTGGAATGGGGTGTTGGGTTTTTTTATGCCCTGAGCCTGGAGCTGCTAGCCCAGTGCTGGTGCCTTTAACCTTGGGGAGGAGCCTCCTTCCTTCTCCACCCTAAGCCGTTTTTAAGCCCCAAGATTGGAGTGCAATAGAGCTAGGCATTCTGACTCCCTTCTGGGTGGCCCTGAACAGATTACTGAGCCTCTCTAGAGCTTCAGTTTCTCCAACACAAAATAGTAGGAATAATTCCACACCAGAAAAGAAAAAAATCAGGAAGAGTTTTGACAATAGTAATATGAGCTGATGATGCTGAAGCTATTTCTTGCACCTGCAGGGGTGTCGGCACAGCGCTGAATAAAGACACAATCTGGGGACTCTTGAAAAGAAATCTGAGAGAAATCCTTGAAAAATGAGTCCCGACTCATTTGATGACAATGGCTGTGGCATAAGAAAATGTTCTGCAGCGGGCTTGCATTTTTATCCTGCCATCTGTACGCCCGGGCCTGCTGCCAGGGCCGTTGGACACAATGCATCAGGATGCTTTCACTGAAAAGCACTTTGTAAGCAGCATTCTGGTCGACTCTTGCTTTTTAAAATTTTGATTTGGGATAACCCAAGTTCAAATCCACTCCACATTGTTGTGGTTCAGTGGCTTTGGGATGGATTTGTTTTCAGATGAATCACCTCTGTTGGTGAGCCCAGCGACCCGCTCTTGCCTGGCCCAGGGCCCCACCCTCTACCTCCCCACTCAGCCTCTTCAGGGGGTGTCTGCCTGTGCCGGGGTGCAAGAAAATGGTCTTATTCACAAGTACAGCGTGATTTGTGGTGAGGCCCCTATGACTCCGTGGAGTTAATGACCAAATGTGTTATAACACAGAAAAAGGGACTGTTGAGTTCTTAGGGGATTTGGCGGAAAGTCATGGAGAGCTTTTGCAAACCCCCGCCATGCCTGCAGTTTCTGTCGCAGGCTGGTAATATGGCTGGATTTTTTTTTCCGACTGTACTCCATCTCATGCAAAAGCCAGACGCGGTTTGTTGGGTTTGTATTTGTTTGTTTGAGACTTTGGTCAAGGTAGAAATATCCTTTTTTCCCCCTGATCGTAAATATGATACATGTATCATAACAAGTTTGAAGCAATAAGAAATGGACAAAGTAGGAAGGGCAAGGGCACCAAATGCCATCATCCCTGGAGCATTGCCTCCCCAGTGTTTTTCTACGTGGTGCTCCTTTCTTTTATCTGCTTTCAATCTGGGTAACCGAGCTTCCTGGAAAGATCTTTCTGTACATTTGAAGACCACTCTCCCCCCCCCCCCCCGCCAGCCCTCTTCCGTATTTGGCTCCTGGCGCCCCCCAGGCACCCTCCTGACATCTTCCCCCGGGGGTCCTCCTTCTGACCGCCTTCTTTCTCCTCCCCTCAGGCTGTGTACAAGATGGCGGACGTGGCCTGCAAATGCCACGGCGTCTCGGGGTCCTGCAGCCTCAAGACGTGCTGGCTGCAGCTGGCCGAGTTCCGCAAGGTGGGGGACCAGCTGAAGGAGAAGTACGACAGCGCGGCCGCCATGCGCATCACCCGCAAGGGCAAGCTGGAGCTGGTCAACAGCCGCTTCAACCAGCCCACCCCGGAGGACCTGGTCTACGTGGACCCCAGCCCGGACTACTGCCTGCGCAACGAGACCACGGGCTCGCTGGGCACGCAGGGCCGCCTGTGCAACAAGACGTCGGAGGGCATGGATGGCTGCGAGCTCATGTGCTGCGGCCGCGGCTACGACCAGTTCAAGAGCGTGCAGGTGGAGCGCTGCCACTGCAAGTTCCACTGGTGCTGCTACGTCAAGTGCAGGAAGTGCACGGAGATCGTCGACCAGTACGTCTGTAAATAGCCAGCGGGGGGCGCTCTTCCGGCCGCTTCTCCACTGCCTCACAAAGTTTATATTATATAAATCTATATAAATCTATTTTATATTTGTATAAATAAAGGGATGGATGATAAATAATTAAAAGAAGAATGGAAAGGAAAAGCTTATTTAAGAGACGCTGCTGGAGATGTTTGAGGATTGCACTGTGCTCGTTCTCTGCTCCCCGGGGGGGGGGGGGGCAGGGGCTTTCCCCCCCTCCCTCAGGACGTCGGGACTTGGGGCTAGTCGCTGTCTATCCACCGTGGCCTTGAGGAGACAAGTGGCGGGTAGATGGAGAAGATGATTTTGTCTGGAAGTCTGGAGTCTGGCGGCTGGAAGACCGCCCTGTGACCCCCGTCATTAGGCCAGGAGGCCCTGTGCAAGGTGGCAGGAACTGCGCTTACACCATCCCGTCTTCAGGGTCTTGTCCAGAATACGGATTGGTTCCGGAAGAGGCCCGGTGCTTTCTTCCCCTTTCAGTTGTGTGCATCCCGGCAGAACCCACAGTTACAGGAATGAGCAGAGGCCCGATGTCATCTCTGACAGGTGACCACAGAGGGACCCGCGCCTCCCCAGACTCCCAGGCCTGTCTGTCCAGCGAGAATTACTGTCCCTCCACAGTTCACTAGGTCCTGCCAACAGTTCCCTGCCCCGAGGGGAAAGGGGGTCAACTGGCCTGACATGTTAGGAGAGAGATGAACTGAATGTTTCTGCCAGAGCCGTCGTCGAGAGCCAGGAGCGTCCCTGGAGCGAGCGAACGTTGCACTGTGCTCCCACAGGGAGAGGAAACGGGGTGCTGCTGCTGTCACTTCCTCCACCACCGGGCCCCCCTGAGCGACAGGATGTGCGACCAGCTCAGGCTCGGCTGGCCTGGCACACTCTTTCCATCTCTGCCCCGGATGTACAGTGTCTCTCTGACATTAAATACCCTTCACTGGAGTCTCTCTCCCTTTCCTTCTTTGGACACATGATTATCTTTCATGAGTCTCCTTTTCTTTTTGATCTGATCCTTAGAACCCTGCTACGAGGCATGTGCGTGTGGGAGAGGGTAAGGAAATGGACACTTTTTAGGGCTCTAGTCTGGTGGTTGGAGACAGAGACAGAATATTATGAGAACTGAATAAGGTAAAGCATTTAAGCACTCTCCCCAAGGGCCAACACAAAGTTAAATCTCGTAAATGCTAGCTATTACTCTTACTTTTAGGAACAAAAAAATTCAGAGATTTCAGTTTAAAACTCATGTTGACCTTCCCTTCTTCTCCCATCCTACAGCCCACCCGGTCACCTCTGGTTTATTCACTGGGTTCTTGGTAAAGCACAGGTGATGGGGACACTCTCTCCAGGCTTCTCTATGTTGCCATGTCCAGTCTTGGACTCCAGGATCTGGAGCCAGGAGAGAGAGAGGAAGGCAGAGCTCAGGGATGATCCACGAAGGGAGATGTTATATTCTAGAAAGGGAGGCAGTAGTTCCTGGGACACACTGATCCAGGTGCACTGGAGTGACCAGCCTGCAAGTGACCCAGTAAGCCACCCCATAAAGACACCGGTTTTATTCTAGAAAAGTTTACTTCTGGGGAAATAGTGGAATTAGGGAGTCCACCTGGGTTATAATGAGCAAATTATATTGCAAAACAATCTAGAAGAGATTCTGTCAGAATCAGAATCATGGCCATGTATACAACTTGTGTCTTTAGGGCCTAAAGAAGAACCTCCTGACTTGTCATCAAAGAACATTAGACCTCGGGTTATTTCACCCTATTCCTCAAGCTATTACTCAGGTTCCTTTGGTTGACATTTTCAAGACGAATAGTCCATGAAAGAAAGTGATTGAAGTTGACTGGCCTACAAAAGATCCAAACCATGTCCTTGGCTTCATTAGCTGGCATTTAGCCAAACGAACTTGATCACACAGATCAACCATGATAATAAGGGTTTGGGACGCGGGCTGGCACTATGGCTCTTCCCTATATCACCGTCGTAACTCCTGGAGGGTTACCTTATGTCAGGTGCTCCAAGTGTTTAAGAGCTGAAATCCAGTTTATCTTTAGAAACTTCAGGAAATTAGCCGTGAGAGACTAGTCCAGAGAAAGTGACTTCCATGTTCACGAAAGGAGAGGCATCATCCCTGAATTCTTTTGAGGTCTTCTCGCAGAGTCATGGCAAGGGGATTGAGTAAATACTAGATATTTTCTTTCTGACCTAGGGAGCAAGTCCTGTGTTCAAATACCAATGCGATTGTTGCAGCCACTGACCACCACGGTTAGCAAAGATTGAATTGTCCAAATAGATCGTGATGAAGTTATGATTGCATATGTGTTAAGCCCTGATGAGCTGGCAGTTTTCTGTGATGTGACCAGAAATCTGTAGCAATGTGGCTGGAAAATCTGAAAACCAACCTAAGACCGTGAGCTTCTGCTCAGAAACCACACACTGGGGATGCCTGGGTGGCTCAGTTGGTTAAGTGGCTGCCTTCAGCTCAGGTCATGATCCTGGGATCGAGTCCCGCATCGGGTTTCTTGCTCAGCAGGGAGCCTGCTTCCCCTCTGCTTGCTTATCCCCCAGCTTGTGTTCTCTCTCTGTCTCTGACAAACAAATACATAAAATCTTAAAAAAGAAAGAAGAAACCACACACTGTTAGAGCATGGACAGAATGTGGCAGTCAGAGCTCCTGCTCTTCCAGATGAGGACCTCCAAATCTTGAGCAGGTCCCAAACGTCAGTGTGCTGTAAAAATGCAGAGTCCCAGGCCTCCAGCCTCAGAGATTTGTATCCAGTTCGTCTGGGGTAGAGCTGGGACAACTGTCTGAATCTTTAACAAGGCCCTGAGGGCTCCTCTGCTGGTGGTCCAGAGCCTGCCCTGGACCTATGGTCAGGATGAGCTGGCCCACGATCCGCAGGGAGAGAGGCATCTAGGTCCTCTCGGCTACCCTGTGTAGGATCTTTCTAGTACCTGAAATGTATTATGATTAACACGTAGTCTGACTGAAGGATCACGGATGTGATGGATCATGGATGTAACGCCTGATGGATCATGGATGTAACGCCTGATGGATCATGGATGTAACGCCTGGATGTAAAGAAGTCCTAGCCATCTCAAGGATCCTTTCTGTTGAGGGGGAAAGCATTCTGGCACAGAGCAGAACTGGTTTGCCCTGGGATGTTTTACCTCCCTCCTCTGCCTAGGAGCGGTAGGGGGAAGCCTACAGATCTATTATAAATATAGTAAGGTAATACTCGCTTAGCTATTTGTTTGCATGTATCCATCTTGTCTTCGAGATAAAATTAGGAGAGTGGTATGTCTGCCTGCCTCCATTTAAAAGTCGACAGGAGGGTCAGAAGGCAGTCACGGCTAGGCTTAAGGTGAGGGCAGGCCTCTGTTCACAAAGGCATTCTGATCAGTGGCTCAAGAATTTGGATTCGAAACCCTAATTTGGAGAACTCAGTTCCTGGTCGGCTGCTCTCTATCCCAGGAGGTGAGAAACAAAACTTGCTACGTTTACTCCTCCTTGCTTGCTGCCTTGCTTTGTCATCTGTGGCTCAGAGGGCTCCACGACACATCGCTCTCCCAGCTGCAGTCGTTCATCAAAAAAGAAATCTACTGCTTGGGCAGAGAGCCACACGATCCCAAGAAGGTGGAAGAAAATAGTCATTTCCATCTTAAAACGGGCTCTGACGCATAACCAGACCCCACTGACACTGGTCACATGTATCTCGGGAGAACTTCAGTGTGTACATGTGTGTCTGTGGGTGGGGGTGTGGGGGTGTGCATGCACCCATGTGCTCATGCACACCCATGCACGCAGGAATGGATGTTTCTCATCAGTTTTGGAGGGGAGATGGGGAGGCACTTGAGGCAAGGAAGCTGTAAGAAAAAAGTAAAAATCACTGTCACCCCTTCTGGCCGAAATGCTGCGGAATATGGATGGTCCGTCGTTACTGGAAGTCCTTGAGCTCTGACTGGCGAATGATGACAAGCTTCCTAACTCTGGAAGGAATGTTGGGAAGCTGAGAAAGGCCACCTGAGCCACTCTCGCTTGCTAAATATTCTTGGTAGTCCTTTATTATTCTGGAATCCCTGCACTGTATTTACACCAAAACAATAAGTAAAGGATGCTTTAATTCCGGTTTTACAGAAGATTTGTGGGTAATTTGTCCATAAGCAGGAAGGTTTTGCATAGATGTGAGGGTCAGACATTAAGCAACAGCAAGACTGAGCTCTCAGCTCTCTCGCACAGCTAATTTTCTAGATTCTTTGGGCATTCATCCTATAGATTATCCACATTCTTTGCTTTCTCCCTCCTGCTGTCTGCCTTTTGGTCTTCAATCTGTTCATTTGCAACTCTACCAGAGGCAGCGACAGAAGATAGAACCAAATCAGTTCATTTGGGCCTCCTAAGTAGTTTTGATAAATAACTGAGTGGGAAAAGGAGGGGCTAAAATTAGATTTTAAAATTATCTGTGAATTCAATATGTCACTTACGTGTATTATCTACTGCTCCCCGTGATAACTGAAAATAGACGGCAGCTGTCTGCAGCCAAAGTAGGTAGGAAACCACCGTGTCTGTGAAGACAGAGTTTGCCTCCGTGTGGGGCCTATCAACAAAGCATCAGAAGGGGCCTGCAAAAGAAATACGCTATAGGAAGGGTGAATTTTTTTTTTTTTTAAGATTTATTTATCTACCTTAGAGAAAGAGAGAGAGCACAAACAAGGGGAGGGGCAGAGAGAGAGAAAGAGAGGAAGCCGACTCCCCGGCTGAGGAGGGAGCCCAGTTGGGGGGGTGGGGCTCGATCCTGTGACCCTGAGATCTGAGCAGAAACCAAGAGTCCGAGGTCCAACTGACTGAGCCACCCAGGTGCCCCAGGGTAAACCTTTTTAATCCAATTTTATTATAAAGTCAAAAGGAAGAGGTATTGTTTTAAGTGGCCCTGTACCTCCAGTAAATCTTCTAAGACTTGGGGTGTCCGGTCAACCAGCCCTTCGGCGGATACTCGATTAGAAGTTTATGTCCTTTTCTCATATACTTACATTATTTCCAGAGACCGTTTGAGTAGAAAGGAAGTTTCATAGAGGATTTTTAAAAAAGATTTTATTTATTTATTTGACAGAGAGAGACAGCGAGAGAGGGAGCACAAGCAGGGGGAGTGGGAGAGGGAGAAGAAGACTCACCAATTGAGCAGGGAGCCCGATGTGGGGCTCGATCCCAGGACCCTGGGATCATGACCTGAGCCGAAAGCAGCCGCTTAACAACTGAGCCACCCAGGCGCCCCCATAAAGGATTTTTTAAAATCACTTTTGTTGGGCGCTTGGGTGGCTCAGTTGGTTAAACGACTGCCTTTGACTCAGGTCATGATCCTGGAGTCCTGGAATCGGAGTCCCGCATCGGGCTTCCTGCTCGGCGAGGAGCCTGCTTCTCCCTCTGACCCTCTCCCCTCTCATGTACTCTCTCTCTCTCTCTCATTCTCGTTCTCTCAAATAAATAAATCTTTAAAAAAAATAATAAAATCTCTTTTGTTTCCAGCTGTGTCTCCTAGAACCTTAAAAAGTGCCTCGCACAGAGAAAGCATTCAAGAAACACTTGCTGAATGAACGAATAAAAGATGATTTTTACTAAACAGAAGAGGAAATGTAGGGATAAGATTAACTGCCCAGGCCACTGTGTAGTTTGTTCTCTCAAAGCTGTAAGCAACAGAAACCAACTTGAATCAGCTTCAAGGGAGGGAGGCAGTATAAGGGTTCAGGAAAGTCTTAGTGACTCCAGGGTCTTCGGGAGCTGAAGGCAGACACCCCTGGCCCTCTCTCCCTCCTCCTCCTTCTTCTCTGCAGTCCGCTTCCCTCTGTGCCTCTGCAGACCAGCTTCCTCTGCTCCTCATGGCAGGAAACATGGCAGCCAACAGCATCCGAAATAACAGGCTCTGGCTCCAGCCACGGGAAATTGATTC